CGGGGCGCGCGGCTCCGGGCGCGGCGCCTGCACCATGAACTACCAGCAGCAGCTGGCCAACTCGGCTGCCATCCGGGCCGAGATCCAGCGCTTCGAGTCGGTCCACCCCAACATCTACTCCATCTACGAGCTGCTGGAGCGCGTGGAGGAGCCGGTGCTGCAGAACCAGATCCGGGAGCACGTCATCGCCATCGAAGGTGAGGGCCCGGCCGCCCGGGGCTGGCGGAGCGCGGGGGAGCGGGCGCGCGCGTGTGCGTGCGTGTGTACACACGCGCCGGCCCGGGGCACGCGGCTGCCCCGCCGAGGGAGGGAGCACTGCAGGGCTTCCTGTCCTGCCAGGCCAGGCGCTCCACGAGCCTGCCGGGGAAGATGGGTTGTCAGCGTCGGTTGGGTAATGGACAATAGACTCTTTCTCGGGAGAAAGTCGCCCGAGTGCCCCGGCCCGGACGACGCCTGGGGGCAGCTGGTGGGGATGGCACCCTTGACAGGTTACCAGGCCCGGGCCAAGCGTCTTGCTGGACGCTGAAGACGTGTTTGGAGAGGCGCTGCTGCTGGAAGAACTGTTCTGGCCAGCGTGCTAAGGCGCTGCGGGGCTGCCCTCCAGTGTGTTTGACCAGGTGGGGCGCAGGGAAGCAGCTGGACTCAGCCCTTGCAGGGAGCCAGCGCCGGCTGCAGGCAGCACCCTGTCCAGGGCACCGTCTCCTGCCCCGTGCGCATGCTGGGCTGCACAGTCTGTTGTGTACCCGAAGTCCCTGGTTCAGTGAAAAGAGCCCTCGGAAAACAGGGCTCACTTCCACAGTCCTGGCACTCGGGGCCACCCACGTGGAGCATGCTGTGGGACGCTGTTGGAGCTGGGCAGAACACTCCTTGCCTGCTTGCAAGCGGGGCAGCATCCCTGCGGGAGCACCAAGGCAATCTGCTGTCCACCTTTCCTGGGCCTGCGTTCTCTCTGGACTGCCTGGGGCTCCCATTTCTCTGCTCTTGAGCTCCGGAATTGTTTTCCTCTCTTTGTTTATTTGGTCTCTCGAGGACCTGGGGGAGCAGGTGGTACATACGTGGGTGACGTGGAGGCATTGCTGTTGACCAGTGGTGTTAAAGGCCTGCAGAGTGGCTGGGCCATGGCAGAGTCCTGCTCAGGGTCTGGTGAGACCTCTGCTGAGGAACGCTGGCTCCATTCAGGGCTGGCAGGAGAGTGTCTGAAAGCAGCTCCAGCTGGGAGTGAGAGCCAGGAGGGCTTTGTCTTGGTACCGTGTAGTCTCAGTACCAACCCCAAAGTGTCTTGGTCGGAACTTGGCCAGCCAGGTGCAGGAGGTGGATGTCGTGTTGCTGATCCCCTTGGCGTTTGGCAGCCTTGTGGACTTGAACCGTGTCCCTGCCAGGGTGGCTGACTGGCCCACCGATCTGTAGGCGAATTGCTCATTCCAGGGGAGGATCACAGCCTCCTGCAGTGTGGGGAGGCCTGGCGCTCGAACCCAGCTGCCCTGTAGGCAGGTTAGGATGCTTCCAGTGTCATCGAGAGAGAGGGGACTCTGCCTTTGTGGCTCGCAGTGGGAGACCCTGGGACCTGCACCTGACTTCTGATAATTTAGACATTGCAGCCAGGATCTGGGTCGGGGCCGGCAGTAGTGGAAGGTGTACTGCTCACTCTTCCTAGCTCTCTGGCTGCATCTGCGGAAGTGTGATGAAACACTTTGAAAGCTGGTGCCAGGCATGGAGTGTGCCAGGCCCACAGCACCTTGCTGCAGCAGCGGGAGGGAAGAACTCTAGCTGAGTGTGACTCCCCATACCTCTTTCATTTCCCATTCCTGAAGCTGCACTCGGAGTCTCCAGTACTTCCAGGGAAGCCCGTTGACTTTCTGGCAAGAGGGTGTGGCTGCATTTTTGTTTTCTTCTTCCTTTAAATTTGTTTGGTTTGAAGGTGATGGCATTTTTTTTTTTGATAACTTCATGCCTACCTTTACAAGATGAGACTTCAGGGTCCTTGTTGGCTGGGATCTTTGTCATTTTTAATAAGATTCAGAATCAGTGGATGGATCCTGTGCCAGGCTTTGATAATGCCATTATCTTTCCTTAAACATAGGAATGTCTGTACCGTGTCATGGCTGTACTGGCTTAGGGAGGCCTAAGAAGCATTCCGATATGCCTCTGTTGGCCATTATCAGCAGTGACACCGAAGTTCATCTGTAGAGAACTTCAACACAGATGCCCGGGTACTCATAATGTCATCCATCGTGTGTTGGTGCCAGCCTTGTGAAGCAGGGTGGCGCAGCTTCATTATCTGCATAGAGCAGGGGGTGGAGCTTTGGGGAGAGACAGTGGCGCCCCAGACAGCTGATGAAGTTGCTCAAAGTCTGGCCGGAACCAAGGATCATTTGGGGCCCAAGTCTTGGCTTCCCAAAACAGTGCTCCTTCGGACCTCCCCTTCTTCCTTCTGTCGAAGTTCGGTTGCTGTCTCGAAGTGTTTTCCCGTGTGTGCCAATTCTAACACGTTGACGGGGCCTCGTCCGCTTCACGGTGCTGTGCGGGCTGAGAGAACTGCGCAGCTGTGGCCCGACGACATTGTCGGGCGAGGAGAGAACTGTGTGGAGCCTCACTCACCCTGATCCCGAGGCCTGGGGCGTTGCTGAGGGCACAGAGGCGGCCCACACCTGAGGAACCCTGGCTGAGCGTGCGCGGAGCACCCCAGTAGCTGCACTGGACTGCACTCCCAGATACGTACGTGTACAACTTTCTCAGTTTTCAAATAGAATGATTTCCAACCTGGAAGGCTTGTGCATATCATAGCAAATATTTTTAAAATCCCTTGTCCCCCATAACAGAAAACTGTCTTCATTTTAGGGGGTATCAGTTAGACTTTTCTCCTTCTGTGTATACACACACAAAATTGGGGTCCTATTCTACAAAGCTTTTTGATTTCCACAGTGTGAGCCCTTTTCAGTATTATGAAGAATCTTTCAAGATACAGTTTCTCTTCAGTATTTGGCAGTACTGTAATTTATTTAAAAGTTCCTGTTTTCTGGCATCTTCGGAGATGTCTGCTCTTGGAGGGGGGCGTGGCCTTGTCAAAGAGTGTTTTGACTAAAATGCTCATTTCAGAGTCGGTTGAAGTGGGTCAGGGTTGGAAAATCGCTTAATGATGGACTGAATTTAATATATTTTAGTTGAAAGAGCTCACCAAGATTCCCAAAGAAAAATTAGGTCAGTAATCTTGTGTGTAGGGATGGGATACATGTGAGTTTTGCACTCAGCCTTGAGAGTTGGCAGCCCTCCCCACAAAAGTGTTTTCTTTATTTTGGGGGGTGGGGGTAAAAGCACATAACTTGTATTAGTATATATACGCAAGGGGTTCACAGAAAATTGGCTTTTTAGGATTGAACAGGTTAGACTCAGGGCCGTTAGGGAGCTCACCCGTAGCTATTGTTTGTATTGACCAAGGCAGGCGCCACGTGACCAGACCGAATTGGCCGCTTTTCCAGAGCAGTACCTGAGGCAGGCTGAGAAGTCTCAGGCGAGTACGGAAATGTGTGAGGGAAGTCACAGAAGACTAAGGAGGTCGCTGAGCTTTGTGCTCCACACCCATCCTGGTGTCGCCTCTTCCCTGAGGACAGCTCCCGTCTTCAGGCCCCAGGCTAGTTTGAGCCTTCCTTCTGCTATTCTCTGGCTCCTCTGGACCAGCACCTCAAGCAAGAGAAAGGACCTGCTGCTGACTGCTCTCAGCTCATCAGGTCTCTGGGGTCCTGCAGGCAGCTGTGCAGTTCGGCCACCCCAAGCCACCACTGCCCTGTGCTCAGGGGAGTCTAGCACCTTCCTGGCCTCCAGTTGGAGCACCTTGTCCAGGTTTCCACTCAGTTCTCCTTTGAAGAGTCCGTATGGGTTGAATGGGGTAGATGATTCAGCCTGCCTTTTTGTTAAATAAAGCTTGTTGTTCTTTTAGGGCTAGAGCCTTTATTAGCAATTGTACATTGTAATTCAGCTTGCCAGCAGCAGAACCAGGATGCAAGTGATAGCCCAGCTGGCTCATTCACCCTGGGCAACACAGTTCCCAGATTCCCAGGCACTGCTGGGAAGTTCAGGCCTTGTCTGTAGTGGGGACCCCAGTTGACATTCATGCCTCTGTCCTCACCAGCGGCTGCTCTGCAGACACCCATGCTGTCCGCTGGCCTGGTGAAAACCCCACTTTTTACTCGGCTGAGGG